AAGCTGTCCCTGAACATACTATGAACTTTTTATCAAGGAACCATGAACCAAACCACTCAACTGTATCCAGCAGTACTCCTGCATCACAGCTGCCCTTCTCTTCACTGCTTTCCTAGCAAATTAGGGGTGCTCTGAGGGCTCTCCTCGGCCTGCTTAAAGCTTTTGGCATTTTGTTCCCCTTGCCAGGTGATCGGCATGCACTACTTCTCCCCTGTGGACAAGATGCAGCTGCTGGAGATTATCACAACCGAGAAAACTTCCACGGACACAAGTGCTTCCGCTGTAGCAGTTGGTCTCAAGCAGGGGAAGATCATCATTGTCGTTAAGGTAAGGAGCTGTATAAAAGGGGCAGATCTGGGAAAGTTCTATTAAAACTCTTTATGCCTCCAGGCTTGTAACTGCTGTGGGGCAGGCACACCAGCATACCCAAGGTGATATCCCATGGTTGTTTGCAGAGTGGACAGGAGTATGGGCTGTTCTGCTGAGTCAGTGTCAGAGTGGGGCATATCTGTGACATGGCAGCTCTCCCAGCCTTTCCAGACCTTCTGGGTGACTGAAACTCTGCTGCACTCGTCGGCTCAAGCCACGCTGCCCCTGGCTGTAGCTTCCCCTGCAATTTAATTACAAGGATTCTGATTGGGATTATAAATCTCCTTGAACTTTGAAATGATGCCTGGGGAGGGGAGACTGCTCTGTCTGGGACCTTCAGCGGAGGGACCAGTGAGTTCACATTCTCTCCCTTGGCAGGACGGACCTGGCTTCTATACTACCAGGTGTCTTGCACCCATGATGTCTGAAGTCATCAGAATTCTCCAGGTTGGTATTGCTCTCGGAATCTTTGAGGCATCCTCTGCTCCTTGTTTTCCAAACTGGTAATGAACAAGCTTTCTTCTAATATACTAACTTCTGGCTCTTCTCCAAGAAGGCAATCCTGCCAGCGAGACCCATCTGCCAGCGAGAGATACATCTGTGACAATCCAACATAAAAACCAATTCTTCTGCCTACCCCACCTCCCCGCAGAAAAGTGGATCTCTCACCTAAACCATCAGCATCCTTAATATAAGTGGGCCCTCCATTCTTCCCTGATAAATCTAATTTAGCCTTTAGCTGTGATTTTGGCACTAACTTTTGGTAGAATCAGTTGCCCTTAGTGAAAAGCCTGAGAAGCAGATGAACAAGGATTCCATAAGCTGTCCCTGAACATACTATGAACTTTTTATCAAGGAACCATGAACCAAACCACTCAACTGTATCCAGCAGTACTCCTGCATCACAGCTGCCCTTCTCTTCACTGCTTTCCTAGCAAATTAGGGGTGCTCTGAGGGCTCTCCTCGGCCTGCTTAAAGCTTTTGGCATTTTGTTCCCCTTGCCAGGTGATCGGCATGCACTACTTCTCCCCTGTGGACAAGATGCAGCTGCTGGAGATTATCACAACCGAGAAAACTTCCACGGACACAAGTGCTTCCGCTGTAGCAGTTGGTCTCAAGCAGGGGAAGATCATCATTGTCGTTAAGGTAAGGAGCTGTATAAAAGGGGCAGATCTGGGAAAGTTCTATTAAAACTCTTTATGCCTCCAGGCTTGTAACTGCTGTGGGGCAGGCACACCAGCATACCCAAGGTGATATCCCATGGTTGTTTGCAGAGTGGACAGGAGTATGGGCTGTTCTGCTGAGTCAGTGTCAGAGTGGGGCATATCTGTGACATGGCAGCTCTCCCAGCCTTTCCAGACCTTCTGGGTGACTGAAACTCTGCTGCACTCGTCGGCTCAAGCCACGCTGCCCCTGGCTGTAGCTTCCCCTGCAATTTAATTACAAGGATTCTGATTGGGATTATAAATCTCCTTGAACTTTGAAATGATGCCTGGGGAGGGGAGACTGCTCTGTCTGGGACCTTCAGCGGAGGGACCAGTGAGTTCACATTCTCTCCCTTGGCAGGACGGACCTGGCTTCTATACTACCAGGTGTCTTGCACCCATGATGTCTGAAGTCATCAGAATTCTCCAGGTTGGTATTGCTCTCGGAATCTTTGAGGCATCCTCTGCTCCTTGTTTTCCAAACTGGTAATGAACAAGCTTTCTTCTAATATACTAACTTCTGGCTCTTCTCCAAGAAGGCACTTTTGTGCTCTCCCTTTCTGTACAGTGGTGGGAAGTTGTGGGCGGATTTTAGCTCTGCTTCCTTAGGCCCAAGGTCTCCCGACATGCTTTTCTGTGCTGTTTCTGCATCCCCTTTGAGGCAGGGACCATCCAGAACAGAGCCCACCTGGTCTGACTGCTGCATCTGCTTCTGCTGCATGGAGACCCCTGCAGTGGCTGTGCAGGCTATTCACCACTTGGAAAGTGGGTGGCCCCTCTTTACCAGACACTTAACTGACACAGGAACCATGGGGCTCAGCAGCACTGTGCCTTGGTGGTATTTTTTTTCTTAGTCATGGGAAACTTAGCCCTGCCTTCTGCGGGATCTTGTTATTATTGAGGTTCAGAATTGCAACCATGAAGGAAATGGATAATCTGTTCATAGATTAGGGAAGGTTCAGACTTTACCCGTGTGGCTCCCAGACCTCTTTGTGCTTCCCTGAGTGAATTAGTCCCAAGTCTGGGCCTGGCCAGAAGGCACCAGAAGAAAGGTGTGCGTTGCACAGGCAATTTCTGAGGGCCAGTACAAGGACCCCTTGTGGGGAATGTGGGATGTCCTTCCCCTGAAGTCCTTGCTTTACCTCCCATTCAGGAAGGAGTTGACCCTAAGAAGCTGGACTCCCTCACCACAAGCTTTGGCTTTCCTGTGGGTGCGGCCACACTGGTGGATGAAGTTGGCGTGGACGTAGCAAAACACGTGGCAGAAGATCTAGGCAAAGCCTTTGGGGAGCGGTTTGAAGGTGGAAGCCTAGAACTGCTGAAGCAGATGGTGTCCAAGGGCTTCCTGGGTGAGCTGCCTCAAAGAAATGTAACCAGCACCATTAGTTAAAAGTTCCCTGAGACCAAAAAGTTACAGAAGGCCCATGTAAAGGACTATTTCCTAAACAGCCCATATCTTAGGGATTTTCGAAAATGACTTCATAACAACCTCTTCTTAGGCTGAGTCTGCAGATTATGGACAAACGACAGAGCTCGGGCCTTCTGAGGCTCTGACATTGTCCATGTTATGCAAGATTGACAGGCATTTTCATCCCACCCAAGGCCTCCACTACATCTGTGATACTGCAGGAGTGAGCTCTGCACCCAAGCTTTACCATATTGTCTGCTCACCTGTGTGGAGAAGGTGAAACTTCTGAATACAGAGTATATAGCTGAGCTGGCCAGCTGCGTACTCCCGGAGCAGGAACAGCAGAGTCAGCGCTAGGACCTGGGCAGCCTAGGGCCGCTGTCGCATGTCTGGACATTAAAAGTCACCCAAATATCCTTTTCCATCAGATACACAGATTCCCAAGCTCCAGGAAACACAAGATCTTTTTTCCTTCTCTGCCAACTCTTCGGACAAACACTGAATTTCTAGGGTTACTAGGTGTACAAAATGAGGAATATAGCTGACAGGCCAGAGCTTTACAGCAGGTGAGCAGAGAAGAGACCTCTCAGGCCAGGGCTCTGGGAATTTGTAACTCTCCCCTTTCTGGCTTCTTTTAGGTCGCAAGTCTGGGAAGGGCTTTTACATCTACCAAGAGGGTGTGAAGAGTAAGAATTTGAATTCTGACATGGATAGTATTTTGGCAAGCCTGAAGGTGCCTCCTAAGTCTGATGTGTGAGTTAATTTGAGTGGCTGTTAAGCATGGAAACATGTTTCTCATCAGCCCAAAGCTTCTTGCCCCTCTTCCATCTTTGTTATGATCACCATACTTGACCAGAAAGAACTCCTAAGGCTTCATACTTTTTGCCCTACCATGTGCCCCTTCATTCCCTGCTGAGCATCAGGGTTAGCACTGTAGCCAAGCCTCGGGAGACCCCTGCTCCAGCCTTCACTCTGAAGGTCCCAGAGAGCAACTAGAAAGACGGTTATCCTAAACCCCTTCAACCCCCAAACGCTTGGTCATCATTTGTAATTGACAGCTGCTGATGTCAAGAGATCATCCATTCTGCCCAATCCTGTTCCTGGTGCTCAGTTTCTGATTAGTTAGGGCCAGTCGTTCACGGTCTTCCTGAGAGAGGCTGGTCTCCTGGCCGCACCACCTCTGCAGAGCTGGAGGCTCAGTACTGGCTGGCGCTCATTCACGTCCTGCACCTGCAGCTCTCCCATTACTTGTCCTCCACCCAAGTATTTTTCCCCATTGGCAGCTCCTCTGATGAAGACCTCCAGTACCGCCTGCTAACAAGATTCGTGAATGAAGCCATCATGTGCCTGCAGGAAGGGATCTTGGCCACACCTGCAGAGGGAGACATCGGAGCGGTCTTTGGGCTTGGCTTCCCTGCTTGTCTTGGAGGTTGGTCTTGCACGTCGGGAAGGCAGCTAGCTCCCTTTATCTTACAGGATTTGTTTTGCTGTCTTCTTCAGCAAAATCCTATTTCTTCATTTAGGGCCCTTCCGCTTTGTGGATCTGTATGGTGCTCAGAAGACAGTGGACCGGCTCAGAAAGTATGAGGCTACCTATGGAAAAGCGTTCACCCCATGCCAGCTGCTAATTGACCATGCTAACAGCCCCAACAAGAAGTTCTACCAGTGAGAAGGCCCTCACATCCTGCTCACCCACACACTAACTCCAGCTGCTGGCTATGCTGGTTCTCCCCACAAAGTGGCATCTAGGTTTATCAGAGTGGCCAGAAGGAACACAAACTCTGGCTTTGGGTGTGTGCCTTGATTAAAGTGCCTTCAGCTACGACTGTCTCTTGGTGAAGTCTGGCTGTGAATTAGTTTGCACTTCATATTGGCTGATGGAACACTCACTGGTCACGAAGCCTCAAGGTCCAAAGTGGCAGCATCTCTGGAGGCGTCTTTGTTGCCTGTTCCTCCTGGGGGCCAGTGGCAGCCAGTGTGGTGCGAGCAGTTCTGCAGCCAGCCAAATACATGGTAACAATGAAAACCAAACTGTCAGCCTCTCTGCCTGCCTCTTCCTTTTTCTTCTGTCTTTTCCCTTCAGGTTTAAACCCTTCCTTCTAGGAGTGAGCTGAGCTAAATAAAGCCCTGTGCTTCTAGGGAAGGACTGTGTTGGGAGAGCTCTAGGCAGGCAGCAAGACTGTAAGGATAGAAAGTGGGCTTGATAAGCCTAAAGCCTTTTCCTGACTGTGCTTAACTGCTGTGGCTGGGCTTCTGCCTTCTGCTCAGCATATCCTGCATGTCCTGGCTGCCCCAGAGCATGGAAGATGGCAGATACACCCACAGTGATCAGAAGCCACGCAGGAGCAGGGTTGTGGAAGGGCTGCAGCGGACAGTCCACCCAACTTGGCCTCAGCTCCCACCCTCCATGGGGAAGCCTTCCACTCCTGGTCTGGCAGCAGCAGTCTCCTGTTTGGGTAAACAGTTTGGGGGCTCCTAGTGGTCTGGCAGAAGGATCCACCCTGAGTATGTGGTCATAATTCACATCCCACCACATCAAGCCTTCTGAAGTTTTTGAGATACTACCAATTCTGCTTCAGTTCCAGTTGAGTGCTGCACTGTTCCCCCGGCCCCAGCCCTGTTGTTGGGACTGGCAGGAAGGAAGATGAGCTCTGGCTTTACTGAACACAGTTGGTTGCTAGGAAGCTAAAACCAAGTGACTTCTGAGTTGGGGTTTTCAGATGACCAGTAGAAGGTAGAGAACTGATTCTTCCACCAAGGCCACCCACAGGCTTCTGCATGCAGGCTCTGGGAGAACCCTTAAAATTGGCTAGCACAGAGAATTAAACTTGGGCCTTGGCTGGTGACATGGAGCTTTGAAACCCGGGTTTTCCACTTAGCAGCATTAGGTAGGTGTAAATTATGGTGAAATAGCAGGAACTGGAATGTTCTTGAAGGGTAGGGGCTTTCAGAAGGGAGTGAGGGCTGGCATTACTAGCTGCCTGGGGCACAGATGAATGGGCCACATGCACGCATCATTCCAAAGTCTTCTGCCCAGAGGCATATATATTCACTGTGCCTGTTGGTCCCCATGGCTCTCAAAAAAAGCAAGTGACTGCCAGAAATCCACTCACACTGTTCTTCAGTGGACTAGCATTTATTCCACTAGTTCTTCAGGATTCACCACATGATTGGCAAGGAAACCAAATGCTTCAGCATCACACTTTCTGTGCTCTACTTCCTGGCTCCCCTCCCTGCAGGGCTGAGGCAGCTTGCTTGGGGCATGAGTACCAACATGGTTCTGATGCTTTTAAGGTAAAAAACAAAAAAATGGAAGAAATAAATAGGTAGGCTAGAAAAGGCAGAAGAGAAGGCTGGTACCTCTGGGGCCTGACACAGATCAGGAGAAAAAGAATCAGTGTGGTTCCAGGTGGGTGAGCTAGGGAAGAGCACGAGGGGACAGGTGGTGGTCCACAGTGGCTAAGGTGCTCTGGGTGCCAAGCAGGTCACTGCTTAAGGTCCAGGACACAAAGACGTGAAGCCTGGGAACAAGGACAGGAAGCCTGAGCTTGAAGAGAAAGGAAAAAGGCCGGTCTCCCAAGCTACTGTGCTTCCCCTTTCTCACCCACCCCATCTGTGCCAGTGACAGAAGACCAGGGCAGGATGCCATGTGCTCACCAGAGTCCAATGATAGGGCAGGGGATGGACAGAAGCATGAGTGATTGAAGGCCACGTGCCTCTAAAATAAAGGAGTGGCTGACCTCAATCTACCTGCCCTTTCATGGAGTCAGTCTTCAGACTGGACCCAACCCTGAAGGATGGGGGGCTAGTTGCAGTGAGCTCAGGGCAGAAGCCAGGGTACTAGGGACGTCCGGGGAGTGTCGGCTTCCCTATCCAGGTAAGTAAGTCAACAGCAGAGCTGTGCTCTTCAAAAGTTGTCACCCATGAACCAGAACTCCTGAGGTGCAGTGGTACAGCACATGCTGGATAATAAACCTGTGCTCAGGGCCAGAGACCTAACTCATGAGCAGAAGAGGAAAGGAAGAGTGTTCCACAGGTACAGAAATTGGCACCCTGACTCTGGGGCAGCTTAGACCAAAAGCCTACAGAGCAGAGAGGGCACTTGGGGAATTTGTGCTTAAGATAGACCATCTTCTACCTTTGTCTCTAACCTGAGCCACAAGCTTGAGAAGCATGAGACATCTGTGAAGCTCTGCAGCAGGACATGGGAAGATGTGAAGGCCATGAAGCCCAGCTTTTGGCACCCCATGGGACTGCAGCAGTGTGTCACCAGGCCCAGCCCCCCACCCCCACCCCATATACTCAAAGGCAAGACATCTCTAAGCAGGGATCTGACCCTAGAGGACCCCATTTCCAAGTGTTAACTCCCTGGACTCCACACCCCTCCCCTGGAGGGGCTGCCTGGCTGCCTTAGTGTTGCCATAGATGGTCCCTGCAGGCAGGACCTACCCCCTAGGAGTGCTGTCCCCCTGCAGACCCACAGCTGGCCCCCAGGGCCTTTGCCCCAGCATTCCAGTTGTGCAGCTATAAGCTATGAAATTCAGATCTTGGGCCTCCAGCCTTTGATGAACTGCATGATCTTCTTGACCTGCAGCTTAGTGAGGTGGAAGTCGTCTGCTAGGATGTCCTCACTGAGCTGCACAAAGATGCTGCCATCAATGCGTTCTCGGGCAAAGAAGCTCACCACGTCCTCTGAGAGCCCAATGAAACGCAGACTTCGAGAGACCTCCTCCAGGGAGAGCGCAGACAGGTCAGCAGGGGGCTGCCAGGAGGAGGCTTCCCGGCCTCCCCAGCCTGTGGCCCCATCCCGGGGACTAGCAGGAGGCCCTTCCAGGCGCCCTTGGGTCAGAAGGACTCGTGCCCCACCTGCCTCTGGCCCCTGCAGGACCCCTGGTGACAGTGGAGAGGGGACCTGCCGCAGCACCAAACCTTCAGGCTCAAAGGCCTTGGGGGGTCCAAGTGGCAAAAGGCAGGGTCCAGGCCCAGGTGCCCCCACAGCTCTGGGTTCCTGACAGCGCAGCAGCTCAGGCTCCGGAGAACCACACTGCCCCAGCTCAAAGGGATCAAAGGGCTCCTGGGCTGGTTCCTGCCACTCAGAGGAAGAGGAGGAGGAGGTGGGACAGGAGGAGGTGGGAGCTGCTGAATAGGCCTGGCCTGGTGAGCCCGGGCCTGGGGAATAAGCAGGGCTGGAGGTAGCCAGGAGAGCAGAAGTGGCTGTGGGCCCAGAAGAGGAGGTCACTGAATGGCCTGAGGGGTAGGCAGGCCCAGAAAAGGGGTTGAGAGTTCCAAACGGAGCACAGCGTTTCTGGGGGTGAGAGGGCTTGAGGAGAGGTGGGCAGCTGTGGTAGGCCTTGACAGCGGGGGCAGCCCGACTGCTCAGGGGCTCTGCCAGGGACCGGGAGGCCTGGCTGGGCTGTGTGGTCGAGGGCAGGGATCCTGAGGGTGGGCGGCTGGAGGACTCGCCCACCTTGCAGTCCCCCCAGGTGCAAGGGTAGCAATAGAGGGAGTAGGCATCTGGGGACGGAGAGCCACTGCCACTGCGGCAGCCCGCCCTGTGGGCAGAGAGATAGACAGACATAGACGAAAGGGTAAGGCAGAGCAGGAGGGAAACGCACCAGTCACACACATGACACAGCAAACCGCTGCTCTGCCAGGTCACAGAGGCCACCGCTCTGACCTCAGCAACACTTGGCAGGCACCCCAGCCCTCAAAGGCCTGAGACCCTCTCTGACTGTCTTTTCATCCGGCGTCCCCCATGCCAGGAAAAATTAAACTGAACCGAATTACATAAAAAAGTTTAAAATAGCAAGGAGCACTCCATCCTGTGGCAGATCCCAGTCTGGAAGGAACGAGAGCACTGCTCCCATTCAATGCTCCTCCTTCAGGAAAGGAGCAAAGCAGCAGGAAGATGTAGCACAAAGGGCTGGGTCCCAGGCCCTCTCCCCTGGAGGGAAGCTGCACCCTCTGAATCCCAGGCCTGAAGTGTTCCTCCTCCTCAGCACTGGCTCCCTGCCCTGCCCTCCCCAGCCTCAGTTCACCTCAGGAGGCCCCAGGACCAAGGGAAGGAGGGGGCTCACCCATCCTGGAGGCCAGAGGAATAGTAGGAGAGGCTGGAGCTGGGCGAATGGACAGGCTGCAGCTTAGGGAAGCGTGGGGGCACCGGGGGGCTGCCCGGGAGCCTGCTGCTGTCACTGCCTCCCCGGGGAGGCACAGGCGGGGCATTGAGCAGGCGACACTCCTCCTTCACCTGCAAGCAGAAGCCGTGACTCCACCCTCCGTCCCCAGGCAGCCAATGCCCTTAGCTTCCCTTTCGACAGAAGCTGGGCCAGGGGGGTGTCTGGGAATGACATTTTGCCCCATTTCACCAAGAGGCTACCTTGCTTTACACCCCAGCTACACACCCAGCCACCCCCCCCACCCCTTCTAGTCTCTCCAGCCCTTTCTCATCCAGAGCCCACAACACATACACTGTCCCCCATGACCTTGGAAATCCCCTATGAGTGTAAGAAAAAGAATACATAAGTAGATTTTAAAAAACAGTAAGTAAATATATTCCCTCCTCAAGGAAAAGGAATGATGGAGAAAATAAAGGTGCAACAGGAAGAAGAAAGGGAAGGAAAAATATCTGCCATCAGTATCCCTTGTTGGGCACATACTTAAAGCAGCCTCCCACATAGCATGTTAATAGGTGTGATGCACATTCGTGCACAAGTACGGTTGGGAAACTGCGTTAAATACAGATAAATGGGTTTCCTTACTGCAGGACTTCTCAAAGCCTTTAATAGACCAACGCTCTGTGGCTCCAGACTGAGGAAAGGGAGGGCTGGGAATCACCACATTTTCTAAACTTATTTCACCATGAAACGTTTTCACTGGACAACTTAAAGGACTCCTGTTCTGTGGAACTTTCTGGGTAACGCTGTTCTATCTAGGCTCACCTCAGATTCTGAGGATGGAGACCTACTGGCATTTCTGTCCCGATTCCCAATGTCACCGTCCTCGTATCCCTTAGTACAAATGCTCTTTCCCCTTTTTCTTCTCCCCTTCCCCCACACCTCAGCCCCCATCTGTCACACACTCCCGGGGCTGGAGGCTGAGATGCCAAGGCTGGGGGGCAGAACTTTGTTTTCAGTCCCAACCGTGCCCTGTGGCCTTGGAGCACAGAGTCGATAGAGCCCGGTCCCCGGCCTCCCACCCTTCTCGCCCACCGCGTCCACTCACCGCCTCGGATTTGGGAGGGACGGGAGGCGGCGGCGCCTCGGGCTCCTGGCGGGGCGGCCCGGCGGCCCCGAAGGAGATGAGGTCGGGCCCCGGGGGCTGCCGGGCCCGGCCCTCGGCTGCCTGGTGCGTCCACAGCTCCTCGTAAGGGATCTCAGCGGGCAGCGCGGCGGGCTCGGGCGTGCCGGCCCAGTCGGGGCTCACGTACTCCTGGTCGCCGTCGCCGGGCGGGCCGGGAGCGCGGGCGGGCCTGGGGCCGCGCGGGGGCGCAGGCAGGCAGAGGCGCGCGCGGCGCGGGCTGGCGCAGTCGTCGGCCAGCTCGGCGGGCGCCTCGCGCACGGCGGTGGAGTACTCGTCGGGGTCGAAGCGCTCGCGGCAGTAGGAGGCGCTGTCGCGTACCAGGCGCTCGACGCGCGGGTCCCCGGCCAGCAGGCCCTGCGGGAGCGCGAAGCGCGGCGTGTCTGTGAGCAGCAGGAAGTGCAGCGGCTCCGGGCCCTCGCGGCGCAGTGCCAGCCCCAGCACCACCGTCTTGGAGATGATGCTGACAAGCTTGTAGCAGTGACCCTCCCGCACCGGGTGCAGGTCATAGGGGTTGCGCGGTGGCCGGCTGGGCACCAGCACGTTCACGGGGAGCCGCACACGTTCGATGATGGTGCGCACCGTGTGCTCGCCCTCCTGCATCTGCAGCTCCAGCGGGCTGCGCGTGCTGAAGCGGCCCTGGCACTGGAAGGGCAGGCTCAGGCTCTCGTTGGTGCGGTGGTTCATGCAGATGAGGCAGGGCATCTTGCCTTTGGTGGGTCTGCCGCCCCCGCCGCCGCCCGCGGCCCCCGCGCCCCCCGGGCTGCTGCCGCCCACCCCGGCCAGAGCCCCGGCGCGGCCCAGCTTGCGCAACAGGGAGGTGAAGCGTGAACGCTCCTTGGTAGTCTTGGCGCACAGGATTTCCGCCTGGCCCATGAGGGTGAGTTCGTCGCCCGCGTGCAGTGTGAAGTTGTACACCTCGCTGTCCTCGCTGAACTCGCCCGACACCACCTAGGGAGCCCAGAAACAAGGCAAGGCCTTAGCCAAGGCTCCAGGGAAAGTCATCCCTGTGAGGCCTTCTGGGGTCTGGGAGGACAGCCCTCCTCCTGGGTACTTCCCGGGACTGAGACCAGTTCAAGAGCTGAACTCATTGGACTAGTTGGGTTGGGTATGGGGTGGAGTCAGGAAACCCTCGTTCCATTCTGGAGAAGCCACATGGTGGTGGTTGTGCAACCTTAACAAGTTACCTCTGGGTCCTTAGTCACCTCTATTTGCAAGAGTTTCTGTAAAGATTAAGTAGACATACTTTGACAATATTCAATAAATGGCAACTTTTATTATCATTATCTTTACAATTTAGGTGATAATAATGTTCTATCCATTCAACAAGGCTACTGTGGAGATAAATGAATTGGTGGATTAAAAAAGGGTTGTAAACGGCAAAGATCTGTAGACAAGTGGAGGGTGTTTGCACTGTATACCCCACCCAACCACCACCCTTCTCAGCGGATGCCAGGACAGACTACCTTGGAAGGTCTCCAAGTCAGGGCATGACCTTCCAAACACACTTCCTCCTGCTTGAACACCTTTTCCAGGAAGTTCGTCAATCCAGTAGCTCATACACCCAGCTCTTCTGACATGGACCAATTGTGCCAAAGGCCCTCAAGGGGCTTCCAAAAGCCACACTGGGACACCTTCTGCCTCCTGAACCCTAAGGGCAATGCTCCAACCAGGGTCAGAGTTGCCCTTAGGGGAAGGGGTAGTGTGGGGGCACCATGCCTGGTGCCAGAAGAACTGACCTTGACACTGAAGGTGATGGCTTCCATCACAAAGATGCGGTCAGGGAAGACGCTGGCCACCTCCTCCACACTGCTGAAGTACCTCACTGGCTCCCGCACATCTCGGGCCTGCTCCAGGAGCTTGAACTTCCCTGCACAGGAGGGAACAGAGGCTGCTAGGGCTACTGTGGAGGGCCTGCTTGCCGGGAGCCTAACCTGCATACTGAGAAGCTTCATGGTCCCTACTATTTGCTACTCTCATCTCAGCTGTCCCTTCTAGAACTCGGGAGGATAAGGGCAGGTCTGTACTAATATGGGGTGAAAGGGGCTCCTCATCTACCTCGTCTCAGTAGGGAGGTGGGCACAGATCCCTAGCACCAGGGCCCAGCCCTCCCCCTCTGGAGAGCTTGTGGATGTGTGATGAGGCTACTCGCTGCCTGCCCAGAGAAACTCAGGTGCAAACTGGCACCCAAACACTTGGACGTACAAGAGGCCTCTAACCAAGTATCAGAGTGGCTTTGGAGATATTGTCTCCTGGCTTGGTTCCAGACCGACTCTGACTTGCTGTGACCCTAAACAAGTCTCTTTTGCTCTCTGGGTCTTCATCTGCGGGGGCTGGACCAGACAACCTTGGCCCTGCCTGGATCTGGCACCCAGTGCTTCTGCCTTGGGTTGTTTTGATCCACACTGAATGCACTGGTGGACCAGGGGCTCAGCCCCACACCTTGGAGGCCCTGGGAGGGCCACTCAGATACCAGCTTTGTTCCCAGACCCTGCCCTGGTCCAACATCAAGCCCTAAAGCCCCCCAGGCCTGTGACCTAAGCCCAGCAGAGGCGCCTTCCTCAGATAAGACCTCCCAGCCTGCTGTCCAGGGCTCTGCTGGGCACAGCAGATGCTCCCAGCAGACACAGACTTTAAAGAATGATGACAGTTCTTGGTGCTGACACTCCCGTGTAAACCATCTCACCTCACCAACCGCACACCTTTTATGTGCCCACCTACATGAGCACAATAACAGGTTGAGAACCTCGCCAGCATTGGGAAGGATGGCCTCTTCTCAGACTTCACAGAGAAAGAAGAGAGTCTTGTCTAGGTGAAGGGACGACACACCAAGAGAAGACACAGTGACTGCTTAACAACCTTGGTCTTCCTGGTGGCTGCTCCGGTCACAGTCCACACAACTTTCACGACACAAACATTTGTGGAGCACCCACTGCATGCCAGACACAGGGCTAGACCCAACAGAGGGTGTAAACCTGGGTAAAACAGTCTGCCCTCAAGGAAATCCAGATATAGTAGGTGTGACAGTGGGCACCCAGTGATGACAGGATGAGACAGGTGCTACAACAGACTCATGGAAAGAGCTAGAGGACCACTGAGTTAGAGGAATCCCGCCTGGTAGTCTGAGGGGATCTTAAGAATGGAAAGAATTTACAGAACAGACACTCCACATGGAAGAACAGCATGAACCTAAAGACGCAGAGCCACCAAAGCAGAGTGTCCACCCAAATGGCGAGTGCCTGGGGGTGGGACTTGGGGAGGGTGATGACCAGAAAGGAAGCGGACGGTGAGCAGGTTATGAAAGGCCCACATGCCAAGCCCAGGCAGCAGGACTCTGATCTGTGAGAAATGAAACCCGCTGGAGAGTTGTGAGCAAGGAAATAGCAAGATCCCAAGTGGACCTCTCTAGAGATAACAGGGAGGCCTCTCAATAACAACCCAGGAACAGTCTGGGGTGCAGTGGCCAGAGGAGGCACTATGTGGAAGCAAGACTGACTCATCAGGCTGGTATGGCAGCAGAGGGGGAGAAGGGGGAAGGAAGGGACTCTAGCCACCAGCCTGGTCAGAAATGGAGATGGCAGAGGGGTTAAACTGGGAACCTAGAAGTAACACATTTTGGAACAGGAGCGATGCTGGAGAGGCCAAGGCCCTCCAGGTGGTGCTCCTAGGGCAGGTGAGCATGTGGGTGAGGGGCCAGGAGGCACCTAGTCAGAAGTACAGGCTGAACAGCGCCGCCCAGAGGAGCGCTGTGAGGCAGGTAAACGGCTCAAGGGAAAGGAAGAGCAGAGGATCTTAGTCCTTTGGGGACCTTCTTCCCAGAAAAATGTCCACAGTGTACTCGTAGTATGAAAACACACACCAGTCTGTACACAGTGCTGAGGGGCCTGTAGCCCCCAAAGCCCAGCAGAAACCCGGAGTGAGAATCTCCCCCTTCCCCCAGTGCAGGGTATGAAGAACAGAGGGCCAAGGGCAGAGCCCATCACCCTCTAGGAGCAGAAGGAGAAATGAGAGCCAGGAAAGAGAAGGGAAAATGCCCAGGAGAAAGCTCAGAGGTGAGCCCCTAGAAGAAAGAGGTCTCAGATGTGCCACAGCCCTAGCAGCAGGGATAAACTGGGGAGGAGGTCTGGCAAGAGCAGTCGTCTGGGGGTCAGGAAGCAGCAGCTGCAGGTCTGCTACCATCCAACAGTAAGCGGCCGCCTCCCTCACCCCGTCTCCTCCTCATATCCACACACGAGCCCCAGGCACATGCAACAGCGAGGGGAGAAATGCCGGCCGCCCCCTGTGCGGAGGGCTGGAGCCGAGGCAGGACTGAAGCCCGGGGAGGATGCGGTGGGGAAGATCGATGTAACCATGGTAGCCAGCACCACCCCCTCCGCTGCAGCCTGAGCCCAGCGCCGGTCATTACTGCCGGGAGGAAGGAAGGGAGACCTCCCGGGAGTGATGCTCCGGCCGCTGGAAGCCCTTTCCTCCCCCCTGCAAGCCCGGTCCTCTCCTGCCCTCCCTACGTGAGACCCGAGGTCCCCTGCGGCTCCAGGGACCTGCCCCACCCCGGCCTGCCTCTCCGGCCTGCCCTCCCTCCCAGGTCACTCAGGCGCCGTCCTGCACGCCCCCCCAGCGCCAGCAGTCGCGTTTATCACGTGCTCCCAGCCCCTGACCCATGGCCGGCACTCCAAAAAGACTGGGGGCACATGCACAGCCTGGAGTCTGCCGGACCTGGTTGACTCCAAGCTCTGGCACCAAACCAGCTGTGTGACCTTGGGCAAATTATTTCGTCTCTCTGGGCTTCGGTTTTCCCATCTGTAAAATGGAAACACACTACTGAGTACACAGGGCGCGTCTGCCCACTGCTCCGCAGGGCCCGCGGCCAACGCTGGGCAGCCACCCCGCGCTGACCAGCCGTTGCCCCCTCGGGCAGGAGGAGCGGGGCTCAGGGCAGCAGCTCTCCGGACGTCAGGTGGTGGGCCACGCCTGTCCCCCGAGTCACGGGTTGGGCCCCCAACGCACTCTGCATGGCCGCCCTGCTGCCCTCGGCCTTCGCAGGTCCGGCGGCTCTCTCGGAGGTCCGCAGCCGCCTGCGCCTGCGCTATTATTAATTCATCAGGAGAAACCAGCGTAGGGCTGTGCACTCAGCTTCCTTCGGGGCCTCGGCCTCCTCGCCCGATCCAGGCAGGCCGGAGCCGCCCACCGGAAAGATGGGGTTGGGGCTGGGGAGGCCACACTCCTGCAGGCCAGCTGCCTCCTGTGACCACCATCACCACCATGCACGGGCACTCAGGGGGCACTAACAGAGATGGGGAAAGGGCTAGGAGCCTCCTGGACCCGCAGTTCCCTCGGAGGCTCTGGACCTTGGTTTCCCAGATTTTTAATCACACAACTGAAGTGGCACAGGCCCTGAAGTCACATTTCCATCAGTGAGGGCTTTTTCCAATCTGCTTTTTTATCCCCGGAAGAATCCCTGCGACCTCTTCCTGGACCACTGCCAGATACCCAGGCTGGGAGGCCTCTTGCTTGGGTGGGCCCCTCAGGGGCACAAGGCCCAGGACAGAGCCCCATCTTAAGAGATACTTGAGAGCATTTCCTCATCTTTTAAATGGGGTGTAGGAGCACCAACATCACAGGTTGCTGTAAAGAGCAGAAGCCATGGAAAGGCCTTAGTCCTGTTGTGCTGACTCAGAGGAGACCCTGGCAGGGCCAAGGCTGTACCTGTGAGGAAGAGGCTGTGAGCCTTCCCACCTCAGAGGGGAGGGTGGGTGTTAGCAATAAAAACACAGAACTGGGCAGGCTACTGGAGCACCTGGAGCCTCGGTTTTCTTGTGAGTTAAAGAGTTGGTAGGACTTTCTGACAGGGTCACTGGGCATATGAAATGATGAAACTGCTCAGCTCAGTATCTCGAACAGAGCACCTGGTCAACATGCAAGAGCTGTGGGAGCTTGGCCCACATGGGGGCATCCCTGGGATGGGGCCCGCAGACTCCCACCCCTCCCACACAGGGGATGATTCTGCATTCCTGGTGTAGCACAGCAAGCCCAGCACGAGCCCAGGAATGAAGACACCTGGGTTCTAGCTCTCCTCTGCTACTTATTAGCTGTGTGACCCTGGGCAAGTCACTTACCCTCTTATGCCCTCTGTTTCATCATGTGCAAAACAAATGAAAGGACTGTACTTTCTTTTTTCAAACAAAATCTTATATAGGACCTTAACATCATATATACAACTGATAAAAGTAGCTCATTAGCGTAATTTAAAGTCTAAAATTTAAACATTCACTCATAAAGTCAATCAATGAAAATAATGAGTTTAACACAAAAATTGGGAAGCACAGAATTAGAGCTGACATATGCAGCACCTCTCTGTTCCTGAAGCTTTCTGGTTGCACACTATGGAGGAGGTTCTGGCAGATGTTCTTTGAGGGTCAATGCAAAACAGGGTTGGTTAATCAGACCACTCAAGGTACACACCGATCTGTAGTTTGGGTTAACATTTGATGTGCATCAATTTGAGGGTGTAGCTATTTTTTTAATCATTAGTTTACAATCCATCTTAAAATAAAATATGAATTGAAGGTTTTCCCCCAGAAATGAGGACTCACAGAACAGGATGAAACCCACTGGTCCCTAACCCCAATCACCACCCTGCTAGCCATGTCCTAGCACACCCCTGCCATTCCAAGGAAAGGTTGGTCACCAACAGCTTTCCCCACCCCTTCCATCCAGCCTACGCCCACTGCTGGCTTTATGCCATCTGTCCCTAGCTGAGCACACCTGGGTACTGCAGAGGGATGTCGATCTTGGGACCAATGACATAGTGGCCCTCCTCCAGGGTGTGGGCTGTCACTGTTGTCCACTGGCGGCAGGAGTGAATGAGCAGGATGTCTCTCTCACTGACGCCCTCAGCATACTCCCCTGGAAGGCAAAGGGAGGAAAGGAGGAGGGGAAGGCAAGGAGAACATTAGTAGGGATAGAAAGAATAGGCAGGCTTACCTCCTCACCAAAACCCTGCCCAGGGGACAGCTCCCATGATTCCTGTCCAGGTCAGCAATGCTCAAGGGGCAGACAGGATGCCAGCTGTGACCTGAGGGCAGGGAGTCATGTCCCATCTCTCAGGGCTCTGCTACCCAGCAACCAGCCCAGCCACTGCCCTTCATTCATCATTCGGTTGGAGGCCCTGTCCCAGGCCCTGTGCTGGGGCTGAGGGCTCCCAGGGGATGAGCCCAGCCCCTGCCCTCCAGGAGCCCTTAGCACATGGGGAGGTGGGGAGAGATATGAACAGAGAATACAGGCTGTCTGTGAGGCCCGAAATGCAGGGTGTCTGGGCACTCACACAGGGGAGCTACAAACTGGAGGGTGGTGGAGTGTTACACTGAGCTGGGCCTCAGGACCACCAGCAGAATTCCCAGCCTCCAAGTCAGTACCTAAAACAGGCAAGGAGGGCCTTGTGGGGGGCCCAGAGAAGGCTGAGATGGGGTTGTCCTTTGTGGGTCCCAGCTTGGAGGGCTCCCCCAGAGCCACTGATCACTCAGGGCAGGGGAATGGCAGGGCTTAGAGGAGCTGATTCCTGGCTGTCACGGGCAGCCCCTTTTCACCCACTGCCACGGGCCCTCTCCTGAATTCAGGGGACCTGGAAGGAGAGGGGAGAAGGTCTCAGACACCCCCATACCCTATCTCACAGAAGTTGTTTCCTGGCTCTCCTTCCATCAGCCCTTCATCCGCCCAGGCTCTGGAACACACTAATGATGGCTGGAGGAGGGGGTGGATTTAAAAGTGGGGGCCTCGTCCTGGGGGAAGCAGCGCTAGGGCAGAGATATTGGGAGGGCCCTGGGCCCTGGAGGCTCCAACCCCAGCAACGGTTTCCAGGGGAGCAGGAGGGGCTGGCCCAGCTTCCAGGAGGCCAGTGGAACGTCTCCTGGCTGCAGCTGGTGGGCAGAGTGGGGGTGGGGGAAAGAAGCCTCTTTCCCAGCCGTCTCACACACAACTTAATTTCTTGCACCTAACCAAACGGGAAATGGTTTATTCCGATTATTCTGATGACAGGGGGCTCCATGAAGTGTGTGCTTGTGTATGTATGTGGGGGGTGGGGGGAACTTGAGGGAGGGCCTGGCTCCCACTGTCTTTGAGGGGTAAGGGGTAGTCTGAGTTTTCCTCCCACCCCCTCACCTCCTGGAGCAGAGGAAGCACCCTCACTCTGCAGCCTCCTCTTAGGGCTCTCCTAAGCCCGAGCCCCCTTCCTACAGGGACCCAGGCCACAGCCTCTCAGGGCACACACCGACAGCCATGGGCCATGGTCACCAGCAGTTGAGTCAGCACAGCCACCTGGCCCAGTGACAGGGGTTTGTTACCCAAATGATACAACTCAGTCCCATGGCCCCCTAAGGGGCTCCTTCCAAATGCATAGGCACACAGGGAGCTTTGAGACTTCAGGACACACTTTTGATTACATATTCACACTCAAAGTGACCACCGTCATATCCACCATAACACAGAGAGCTCGGCCATCACACCAGTTGCTCATTCACTCATTTATTTACTCAATCCATAATCTTTGTTAAGCAGGAAGCCCTCCTTCAAGCATCCTGCGGCCCAGCCTTGAGACAACAAACTATTAAAACAGGTGCAGAGTAGGAGACAAAACAGGGGTGCCAGAGGTGTTAAGGGAGCTTAAAGGGGCGCTGCCCTGACTGAGCTCAGAGAAGAGCCCTCAGGACGGGGGATGCCGAAAGAGATGTGTACGAAGTGGCCGGGCTGAACCTAGGGCCAGCATATCCCATTCACACGCAGACACGTACAGCCTTGCTGCTGACGCGGACAATGTCAGGAACAGGACGCTGAGCAGCCAGGCACCCCTGCCCGACGCCCGGTGCTTGGAGGCTACCACAGAGCCAGGCTCCTAGGACACGCTGACGTTCACTGCGCTCACTCCTCGCCGCGGCGGGTCGGAGGAGGGGCTGCCGGGCCCCAGGGAGAGGAGAGGAGCCTGTGGCCGCGGGCCCCATTAGCATTCTGGGAAGCGAGTGTGCCAACTCAGGCCAAACCCCTATTCTTCTCACACACAAAACCCCCGGCCTGGCTGCCAGCCCCGGCTCCCGCCCCTCCCCCAGTCAAGCAGCCCCCTCTTCCCCCAAATGGTCCCCTCGCTTCACGCAGCCACCAGGCGTCCCTTGTCGGGCCTCCACGCATGGTCTCATCGGCAGAGCGGCCCGGGCTCCCGGGCCCGAAGCAGAAGTGGGGCGAGACGCGGGGGAGGGCCGGGGGCTTGGGGCACGCCCGGCGGGAGGGCCCGCTCGTTCCGGCCTCTCCCCGAGGTGGCTGGTCCGCCCGAAGCCGAGGCTGCTCCTGGGGACGCGAAAGGAGGGTGCGAGACGAGTCCCAAGAGGGGCCAAGGGGCATGGGGGGAGACAGAGTCCGAGGCCCAAGGGATGCGGGAGCACCGAGGTGAGAAGAGTGAAACAAAAGGACAGCGAGGGGTGCGGCCCGGGCGGGGGTCTCAGGGCAGAGGAGGGCAGAGGAGAGCAGGCGTGCACCGACGGGGCGGGCGCCGTGGCTCGGCCGCGCTCGGGGCGCCAGCGGAGCCGGAAATTTTGTCCTGGGCCCGGCCTCAGTCCCTGTCCCAAGTTTCTGTCCCTATGCCTGTTCTCGGGACCCAGGAGGACGCGCACCCTGGTTTCGTGGGTCCCCGGTCTCTGGGGAGGCGCTCCAGGAGCCGCCGGGAGCGGGAGGCAGGGGCCGCATGCTCACGGCCCTGCTAGCACCTGCCTGGAGAGTCCCTGCTTTCCCCACAGACCCCAGTCGCCCTTCCCGGCACCCCCGGTACCTGGCCCGAGACAGGCGAGCGTGGGCAGGCGGCAGCGGCTGACGATGAGGTCGAGCGGGAAGGCGCCCATGCTCCAGCGCAGGCCGGCCAGCCCGGCCGCCAGCTTCTCCATGGCATGGGCGCCCTCGGGGCCGCCGTCCCGGGGCCCCGACGGCCAGTCCCGCGCGGCCCGGGCTCCCGCGGCCGCCACCACCTCCCGGGGCCGCCGCGCGCTCCTAGCCTGGAGGCCGGGCCGGCTGCGGGAGTCACGTGGCCGGCCTCCCGGCGGGGCGCCGAACCCCGCCCCCGCCCCACCTCCCGGCCCGCGCCCCCGCCCCAGTCGCCGCCAAGTCCCGCCTTCCCGCCCAGCCGCTCGCCCGCCCCTCCCGGAGCGCCCAGGTGACAGCCGGGGACCGAGGAGCCCGGGCGGGGGCCTGGGGGGAATGGAAGACGCGAGGCGGCATCTGCGGGCTCGGGGGTGGAATCAACCTCGCCTCCCCGCCGAACGTGTCTGGACTCCTCCTGGTCCCCCGGGAGCGGCGCCTCTCCTCGCCTGCTCGTGCGCCGGCCTCCCGGAGCCACCGCCCACCCCGCGCTGGGTCTGCTGCGCTTCCCAAAGCTCCTGCCCCGAGTCAGCCGTTGCATCCCAGGAGCGTCGCTGCCTCCAGGACATTTATCACCTCCAGCTTCACGCAATTCGGCGGGGCCGCCTCATTAGCCACATTTTACTGATGAGCAAACTGAGGCTCAGAGAGGTCACGTGGCAGCTTGGACCTGAACCCGGGTTTGACTGCGAATCCTGTTGCCCTGCCTGGTTGTCGCCGCAGCCTATCATCGCCCTCTCAGACCTTGCCTCTTTCCAAGATCCCGGCGCCCTCTTACCGATTTTCACAAGTCCCGAGAGCCAGATAGCTCCCCACGTTCACAGCTGTGTGAACGCTCCCTCACGCTAAATGAGACAGGTTCAGACGTGTAGCGGGTAGTGGAGTTCCCTCTGTCTCCGGGGGCTACCGGACCTCTCGTTCCCTTCTCTTAATTTGCTCTTCCTTTTCTGCTCCCTCATCTCCTCCTTCCAACGCCTCTTGGCTACAGCTCCGAAGCTCTTCTTGGGAAGCCCTGCCCGGAAGCTGTGGTGGCTTCAACCGGGCCACCCCGCCAGAGGGCTTCCTTTGCCCTCAATATGTCTGCAGCGCCCCCCTGCAGGTGATCAGGGGCTGGCGCAGTTCTGCCGAGGGACAGCTTCACGCAATTCGGCGGGGCCGCCTCATTAGCCACATTTTACTGATGAGCAAACTGAGGCTCAGAGAGGTCACGTGGCAGCTTGGACCTGAACCCGGGTTTGACTGCGAATCCTGTTGCCCTGCCTGGTTGTCGCCGCAGCCTATCATCGCCCTCTCAGACCTTGCCTCTTTCCAAGATCCCGGCGCCCTCTTACCGATTTCACAAGTCCCGAGAGCCAGATAGCTCCCCACGTTCACAGCTGTGTGAACGCTCCCTCACGCTAAATGAGACAGGTTCAGACGTGTAGCGGGTAGTGGAGTTCCCTCTGTCTCCGGGGGCTACCGGACCTCTCGTTCCCTTCTCTTAATTTGCTCTTCCTTTTCTGCTCCCTCATCTCCTCCTTCCAACGCCTCTTGGCTACAGCTCCGAAGCTCTTCTTGGGAAGCCCTGCCCGGAAGCTGTGGTGGCTTCAACCGGGCCACCCCGCCAGAGGGCTTCCTTTGCCCTCAATATGTCTGCAGCGCCCCCCTGCAGGTGATCAGGGGCTGGCGCAGTTCTGCCGAGGGACAGTGCATAAACCAACAATTGGGCCTTAGCTCCCAGGCTGGGGCTTAAAGGGCTCTATGGGCCCGGTCCTCAGCCTGGTACTCTAGAGAGACCCCCACGCACAAACCCTCTCTTCCAAGGTGGGTGACATCCGCATCATCGGATCTGAACCCCAAGAGAAACGGCACCCGGTAAGATGAGCACAGCTCAGCAGGAAGAGACATTTGAGATTACTTGTTTGATTGCCATCTTTTGCAGAGGAAAGGAAGGGAGACTCCAAGAGCAGAAATGCTTTGCTCCAGGCCACACCGCATGACAGAAAAGGAGCTGTGAATAGAAGGTAGGCATCCTGCCTCCCAGCCAGTGCCCACTCCAAAGACCCTCTGGCCCAGCACAGGGAGCCCCCTACCCCACGTCCCCCGGGGAAGGCGAGGCCACTCAGGCTTTCCCTTCCTTCAGCCAGCACACAGGTGGGACTTGGGGGTAATTCAGATGGATAGAAGCCCTCTTGGGTCTGTGAAGGTTGGGGGTTCTTCCCTAAGAAGTAGGTAAGAGAAACATGGTAGAAGGGAGGAAGAAAATAGAAGAAAGAAAGTGCAGGAGTCCAATAACAGAAGGTCTCAGGTAGGAGGATGAGGGTGCCAAGAGGAGCAAGTGAATGAAAAGGGGCCTACTTAGAGTCACTTTTCTTTTCCTGCCCTGCAGGACTGCTCTACTTGGTGACCATACAATTTGTCATCCAAACTGGGATGCTGTGGAGAGTCAAGGAGGTGCTGAGACAACAGGCATAAACCAGACTCTGGGACAGCAGGTGTAAACAGGGCCTAGGGCCAAGTGGCCAACCTCTCTCCAAGGGACACCTCATCTACAGGGATTTCGCATGCTCATCATCACCGGCTCACCTCAGCTCAAGACCTCAGTTTCCAGATGTGCCTCTCCACCCCAATCAAACATTCACAGGCATTCCATTTCAACAAGCACACTTGAACTTGTCCATCTTTTATTTCCTACCCTAGATAAACACATCACCTTTCACCTAGTCCCTCAACCTGGAAATCTCCTTAGCACTTACATCCACACTGGTCACCAAGCCCTGGTAATTCTGCCTCCACCAGATGTGGTGTAGCCCTTCCTCCTTTCCTAGGCAGCTGTCCAGCCTGACTTCAGTTCCTCCTCCCATCTTCTCTCCCCAAACCACCTTTCATATTTCACACCACAGCCCCTGTAACTCTGGATTCCTGCTGAGTCAGGGACCACACAGGTGTGAGGTATCAGGCAGAGACCCTCCAACTGCTGGACCCACCTCCTAACTATTGCAGAATGTTCCAGAGCTTCTCCAGGGCTTCTTAGTTGTTGGCACAACTCCAATGACCTGATACAAGTGGTGAAATTGCCCAGACACATACATCCCTTGATTTGCTTGGGGCTCAGGAGCCATGTAAGCAGGAACTCAGCTTCGCTTAGAGTCAGAACTGCTTTGATCTTAGATCTTAGACTGAGATTGCTGGAAGACAGCTGGCAAGCCGGAGTGCCAGGAAGCACCCTAAGGGAGGAAGATGTTCAGCAGAGGCCAGACTGAGCAGCTAAGTCTGGAAGAGAGAGAGCTGGGGGCCTAGGTGCTGTCCAACACCATACTTGAGCTTCACCCTCTGGAAGTCTGTGAGGGGCAAAAAGAGCTGAGGGGCTGAGGAAGAACGGGGTCACTGGAACACAAATAGCAGACGGTTCCCTACCGGCTGTAGGGGAGGACACATGAGAGGTCAGTGGTCTGGGGAAGGGGCCAGGGAGGGGTCATAGCCCTGGCAGAGGCCCACTGTTGGCCCAGACGTCCAGCCATAGCAGAGGTTGGCCAAGCTTCCCGTGAGTGGATAGAGTGGTCAGTGCAGTAGAAAGACTGCAGAAGAGGCCAGCAGTGGCTCAGGTTATGTGTAAATCAACTCCACCCCATCTAGTAGACAGATGGCCTTCTCTGAGCCAGTGAACTACTAGGGGAGGCCAGGGAACATTTGGGTAAGCACCTCCAGAAATTCTAGAAAATATTGTGTCCAACTTTATAGGTCAGAAAATTCCAAATGTACACAGAAGTAGAGGTAATAGTCTTATGAATCCTCCTTCTTGTACTCATCTTCCAGCTTCAACACTTACCATCCCATGGTTGATCTTATTTCTATTCACATACTACACAATTCATCCATTTAAAGTGTATAATTCAAAGTTTTTAGTATATTCACCATATTGTACAACCATCACCACGATCTACTTTTCAAACATGTTTATCTCCCCCAAAAAACATAAAAAAACAATAAACAATAAAAAGAAAACCCCTACCCATTATCACTCAGTCCCTTTCTTCAGCCATCCCCCTTTCCCTATACAACCATGAATCTATTTTCTGTCCCTAGCTGATTCTGTACATTTTCATATAAATGGAATAATAAAATATATCATTTTCAGTGGCATAAGTTTAAAGGTTCATGAATGTTGTACCATGTATCAGTATGTAATTACTTTTAATGGATAAATAACATTCCAGTGTACAGACATACATTTTGTTTATCCATTCATCAGTTGACAGATATTCGGGTTGTTTCCACTTTTTTGACATCATGAATAATGTTGCTATGAAGATTTGTATACAAGTTTTTGTGTGGACATGTTTTCATTTCTCTACCTAGTGGTGGAATTGCAGGGCCATATGGTAACTCTATCTTTTAACTTTTTGAAGAACTGCCAAACTGTCTTCCAAAGTGAGTGTACCATCTAACATTCCCACCAGCAGTGTATGACAGTTCCAATTTCTCCACATCCTTGTCAACACTTACTGTCTGTCTTTCTAATTGTACCACTCTAGTAGTATGAAGTGGTTTCTCATTGTGCTTTTGATTTTTCTTCATGAGTAATGATGTTAAGTATCTTCTCATGTGCTTATTGACATTTGTATACTTTCTTTGGAGAAATACCTAAATCCTTTGTTTTTTTATTGTTGAGTTGCAAAAGCCCTTTTTTATATTGTGGGTATAAGTCCTTTATCAGAGATATGATTTCCAAATGTTTTCTCCCCTTCTATGAGTTGTCTTTTTACTTGATGGTTTGCAGCACAAAAGTTTTTTATTTTGATGAAGTCCAATTTCTTTTTTCTTTTGTTGCTTGTGTTTTTGTTGTCATACCTAAGAAACCATGGTCTAACTCAAGATTACAGAGATTTACTCCTGTTTTCTTCTATGAATTTTATAGTTTTAGTGCTTACATTTAGGTCTCTGATCCACTTTGAGTTCATTTTTGTGTATGGTATGGGGTAGGAGTCCAGTTTCAATCTTTTGCATGTGGATATCCAGTTATCCCACCACCATTTGTTGAAAAAGCTATTCTTTCCCCCCCACTTAACTGTCTTGGCACCCTTATCAAAGATCAGTTAAACATAAATGTCTTCATAGAACTCTGAAACATATCTTAGACATAATTTCATCTGTAAGTATTC